ACTCCACTGCAGGAAAGTCAGCTAGGCCCTCTCACTCTCTAAGAATGAGAGGAAAACCCCTCGGACACATATCCCATTCCTTTATTCTGTCACAAATGCCTTTCTCATTCCTTGTCTACCCTAAAATCCACTGACATCGTCTTTTTGATTCTAGCTCTTAATGGCAGTGGGAAGGCTAGAGCTGACTGGAGTTGGGTATTTCCCTTCCCCTTGGTCAGTTAGGCCATGATAATACCCCAGCGCATTAGGCTCTGGTTAACTGGTTTCTCCTGAAGGTAGGGCCTTCTTAAGAACAGAGTGCTCCGGTCTATTTCACAATGATTCCTTTCCCCTCCCCCTCTCCAGGCAAAAGGAGATTTTTCCCTGTTATTTACTATGAGAACTAGGGGTAGCTCCTGGAGGCAAATCCCACAGGTTGTTTTTCTCCCATAGGTACTGTGAGAATCTGGTCAAGCTCCTGGAGGAAAACTCAAACAATTGTGGGGCCCCCCTGTGACTGGGCACCCCTGGAGTTTTTAACTCTCAGAGTTGTCTACATGAAACCCCCAGCAGTGAGTCAGTTACAGTTTAGGTTTTCCTACCTCAGTACTGGCTCCAGGCACTGGGTCCCACTGAGGTTTGCTCTTGTGAGTCTCTGCTCCAGTAAGCCATTCCTCCCTGTATTACCTGTCTGTCTCTCCAGTCTTGGGGGCAAAGGATTGCCCAGTGTTCACCTCTCTTAAGGATTCTAGAAGAGCTGTTGTTGTTTCCAGTCTCTTCAGCTTTCTATTTGTTGTTAGAACACGGTGGTGACTTCCAGCTCCTTACATGTGGAACCCAGTACAATCAATTTTCAGTTGAAATTCTCCTTAATTTGACAGCTCTGAATTTCCCCCAGGCTAAAGAGAAAGAATTCTGTTATTGTTGCCACTGCTGTTGCAGTTGTTCTTGTTGTGGTTTTGTTGCTGTTGTTGAGTCTATATCATACACAAATTGTAGAGAATTAAAGGAGTACGCCTTCAGGTGTAACTCTTTTAATTGCATGGAAACTCACGTAAGAATTTTCAACCAGATATGGATCTCAGGTACACCCTCATAAATCGTCTTTTTAAAAAACTTTAAATCAAAAAGCACAGGAATCTAATTTAAAGAACGTAAATAAACATTGCGGTTAGAGTTTATTAGAGCTGTTGACCTTAAACAAAGAGCCAGTTATTTCTCCAGCAAAAATGGCTTTATTTGTGATCAGCAAAGAATTGTAATTCAAGTCTGCAACCACGGCTAGCCACCTGCAAACCCTCCGGCAGCAAGGGAGGAGAAACTCTCTTACAGAGGGGAAGAGGAAGTTGGGAGATCTACTGAAGACAAAGAGTCCAGCTGGAGGAACCGGAAGTTCCATGTGTCGTGGCTTTTCATTGGCTGAGGTGTGACAGTCTCTCATTGGCTGAGCTTCTTGCCTATCGAGAAGAGGCCATCTACCTTCTTCCTCTTGGGCTCTGCTATAGAGGTAGGGCATGAGAACTCCACCTTCTGGCCTCCAACCTTTAATTTAATGAGATTTCTGTTTATTAATTTCACAGAGTATTATAAAACTTTTTTTTCCAACCTAGATTGCTTCCAACTGACCCTGATTTCCAGGTTTAAAAGTTATGAAATAAGATCTTAAATCAAGGGCTATTTTAAAATCAGTGTTTTCCTTTGCGACTTTCCTTAGATCCTGCTGTTTAGTGCTGAAGTTCAGGGAAGTTGCAGGCATAGCTGGTTGCGATCTAAGCCATCTGCACCAGCGAAGGTCTGGCCGCCCTTGAGCCCACTTGTAAATCAGGAGCAGGCTCCGAGGAGAGTGGTCTTGTATTTTGCTCTAGGAGACTCTAGATTTTAGGAAGAACCCTCGGGGTAACCCTTATTCGCCTGTCTCCTTCCTGGAAGCTTCTATCAGGAAACCGACTGTGCATGCAAAATAAAATGGAAGGAGTCTGACAAAACGTTTGTGATCACGATCTCGGAATCCAAACACAACGCTGCTCCACCTGACAAGGCCCAGATGTTCTGCAGGCTGGGATTAGAGCCCTGCAACAGCGATGAGACTGGGTGGTGAATTTGCCGGGATGAATTAGTTCCATTCATTCATCAAACATCGGCTGAGTTCCTACTAGTGTGCCAGACGCGGTGCTAAGTGCAAAGTAAAGGACTTTTTTTTTTTTTAATTTTGGCCCCCAGCTCAGCACCAGGCACTTCTTACAAGTTCAAACAGCGCTTGAGAGATGAGTTAGTACCAGTCTCTTCATAGCTGAAGACTGACATTTACAGTCAAGTATGAAACTGCTGGACGCTACCCTAGCACCTTCTAGAAGCGCGCAGACCTGGATTCCTTCCCCACACCACCAGCCAGGTTTGTAGCCACCAAAGACTTCAGAGTGACGAGTGAATGTTGGCGTTGAAGGCTGAAGGCGCACGTGGCCAACAGGGGTAGAGTTCTGAGCCCTCAAACCGCCATGGCCACGAAATCGGCTTCTAGAGTAGTCGTTTCTTAACCATTTTGCAGTCCCCATTCCACTGGTGAAAGCTATGCTTCTCGCCTCAGGAAAATGCAATCCAACGAACACACATGCTTACTAATGATTTCAGAAGGTTCATATATTAGAAAATTCGGGTCTTGGAAGTGGAAGTCATTCCCGCAAAAGTGTGTGTCACCTGAGTGCAGACTCACCTAAGACAGCCTCAAGAGGCAGAGCGCAACCTCCAGCCACACAGCATCCGCTACGCCGCCTTCGCCAATTCGGCCCTGCAACTGTGCGCGGAAAGCCTACGTCAGGGCTCAGGACCCACACGGCCGAGCCCCAAAACCCCAGACTGGGTCTCAACAACGGCTACCCGATTCTAGGCTCCAGGACGCACGGAGCCCAGGATCCGCCATCCTGAGCCCTGTCGCTTGCTCCGCAGGCTTCCCCTGCTCTGCGCCTGATGCGCACCTGCGTCCTACCCACCAGTCCCTCCACTCCTGGGTTCCCCCGCCGCCCTGCCTGTCTGCCTCGCGGAGAGCGAGTTTCAGACACCCACTTCCCCCGCCCCGAGCTTTTATTCTCTTGCGGCAGTGCCGACCCAGGAGGTAAGAAGGAGAAAAGTTGAATAAGGGCATCTTGGAAGTTAGGTGTCCCCGAGCACGGAGAACACCAAATAGATTGGGAAGAGACATGCCTAGGGGCACGTCTGTGTGTCCTAGGAAATGCTGAGGCTCCTGGGGACTGAGGACTGGGGTGTGGACCGGTGGCTCGGGTCACTCACGGCACCCCCGGGGCTAGTTTGTGCTTTGTCTGAGAGAACCACGTAGCTGGGGTCCTTGCCTCCCCCCCCCGCCACGTCCCACTCCGATGCCGCGCCCGTGCTTGCGGCGCTGGGCGGATCTGTACAGCCTGCCGCCGATCGCGAGTGCGCGCTCAGACCCAAAGATCTGGGAAGCAGTGGGAAGCTTCTTTCTCCGCACTTTATCCGCTGAGGGCGGCAAGTAGGACCTCGGACCTTCCAGGCAGGCTTGGAGCAGAAAGCTCTGGTAGAGGGGTCCTGAAACCCAGTTGTGCAGGGTGTGAGAGGGTCGAGGTTCTGCATAATTTGATGTTATGGAGCACGCTTATTCTTGACAGTGAGTGTAAGTATGATGCGACCAGGTCATCATCATGCCGGTGTGTGCGTGCGATCCCACAAGAGACTCGGAGGCACGCTTGGGGTGCGACTGAGAGTGAACCTGGGCAGATGCCCCTGAGTGCCAGTGTCGTTTTGTGAGTGCCTGTGCTTTGGGGAGTGGGCACATGTTTAGCACAGATATGAGTTTGTGTGTGTGGAAGAGTCTGACTGAACTGAGTGTGAGCGTTAGTCTCCGCAGGGACTCTTCGGCAGCGTCAAGCCTGCCCTGATCTCTAGTGGAGGACTCAAGTATGGGGGATGCAGCTGCAGGGCTGAAATCGCATTCAGACATCTTGGCAAACAGCAGCCGGAAGCTGGGGGAGCTGGGCGAATGGCTTGGACAGGCGGACATGTGAGAGGTCATGGATGCTGGGGTAGAAAATTGGAGGACTAGAGTTGGCTTGGAGACTGGGGAAGCGTCTGTGCCTTGCACCTCCCCACTAAGACCCAGCGGGTCATAGGATCCTCCTTAGCCACATGTCAGACCACCCAGCGGGAGTCCAGGCAGCCACACAAGGTGGGAGTTTGGAAAGTATGGAATGCGATCTTACAGAATCCCCTATGTGGGCCAGGAAGCTCCCTACCTGGCTGGGGGACAGGCACATGGCTGCTAATCACAATGTTCCTTCAAGACGGAAATAGGGTCCCCATTTCAAAGATGGGTACACTGAGGTGCAGAGAAGTTACTTGCCCATCGTCCTACCGCCTGGAATTGGTGCAGCTGAAATTGAGTTCAGGTCTGACAAAGTTCTTGCTCTCACCTCCATCTCTTGCTTCCCAGGAGCCCTGCTCCTCTGTGGGTGATTCCATAGGCATGAATCAGACACCCCGCCTGGGTCCAGAATCAACCCCGCTGCACATTACCCCTCTAACTCTCACATGGGTGGGGGTCTAGGGTCAGTCTGGAGGAGCCAGGAGTCCCTACAGTCCTGGACCCCACCCTACAAGATGGCACAGCTGGGGATGGAGTGGGGCTCCTATTGGAAAGCAGCAGAACTGAACTGGTAAAATTTACCATGAAGGCAAACTGTCCTCAAATTCCTGCTCACTTTAAGAGTGTTTCTCCTTGGTCACCACCAAGGAGGTCAATGACCTCAATGCAAATACAAGTGGGATGGTCCTGCTGGATGCTCCAGGTTCTGGGCACAAGTGGTGACACAATCCGTCGGGGCACAGGATCCTTCCCTTCATTGGCTGCCCAGACCTCCTGGACCACCCTGGACCCAGAGCTGTGGGAATAAGAGCAGCCGCTCGTGCTGGGAGGCATCAGAGCCACTGCCCAGCCCAAGTGCCACTGACACTTCACAGTGCTGTCCCCTGACGCCAACCCTGCCGCCGCTGCCACTGTCTCCTCTCCAGGCTACCTGCTACCTGCTGCCAGGTGAGCCCTGAGATTCCTGCTTAGCTGTGTGATTCTATTTGTCTCTCCCTCTCTCGCCATTAGTCTTTCTCTTGACTGATCTCCTTGCCTGTCTCAGAGTCTCTATCCACCTTTGTCTGGGTCTCTTCATCACACAATCTCTGTCAGTCCACGATTCATTCCAGGCTCCTGCCCCGGGTAAGACTGGACAGTCTCGGTTGGAGAACTCCCTGCTCCACTCTTCCCGCACCGAGGCGGGCTCCAGTCTCACCGTCTCTTGCTGCACACATGCTTAGGCCAGTCTCCGGATGTTTGATCTCCTCAACACTGTGCACACAGAACAGGACGCAGGAGTAGCTTTCTGCAAACCCTGTGCTCACAGATTACATCTGGTCCCTAGTGTTCCCCAGGAAGTCAGTTAGCAACCTGGGCCAGCGCAAGTGGGTGACAACTAGGCACAACCACTGAGGGACAGGCAGCCATTAAACACAAGCCCCACTTGTGGGTTCTGGGAGATTTTTTTTCCCAGTTTGAGTGCTCGGTCTTAATTTAACACTCTGTCAGCTTGGTTCTTACAGGGGACTCTATGCCAAAGTGCAGAGTGGCTGAGCAGTAGAATTTGGTTCTTCAGTTTCTCAGAGATTCCAACCTCAGAGATATGCCCTCTCTAGGTACCTTCCCCCACACACCCCCAGTGTGAGCAAAGGCCTCACACGAGGAGGACAACTGGGTTGCCTCATGGGACAAGCTGTTGTGACAGAGTGCTTTGAGACTGTCCTCAACAGAGACCTGGCCACCAGGTGTATGTGAGAGTGGGTATGGTGGGGTGTGGGGAGGTGGCACTTACCCTCCCCATGCAATTTCACTCTAGGATCACTACTCTAGCTTTGTTGACCAATGCATGCTAGATGCTCACCAGACCCACCAGCAGTCACTGACAAGGAAACAACAGTGAAGGGAAATGAAGTGACCAGGCTGAAGCCAGGGGGTCACAGGCAGAGGCAGGACCGGAGCCCAGGTCTGTGGGCTCAGAGAACTTCCAACTGCCGCAGGTGGTGATGTCATTCTGCCCGCGCAGAGAGGCATCATGGGCTTCTGGAAGTTCTCCTCCTTCCTGCCTCTCAGCATCTTGGTCTTATACCAGGCAGGCATCCTCCAGGCAGCACCACTCAGTTAAGACAGCCCTGCCAGGAGCGCAGTCCCCTCCCACTGTCCCTGAGATCACACAATTCTGTGCTCTGAATGTTTAACAACCAGCTCTAGGGGGAAATGTATATATGTAAATGTAATGTTTGTAAATGTAAATATAAGTTTATTATAAACTTTTTGTGATTTAAAGATGTGTAACACAATTTACAAATAGAAATAAGATATACAATACTCTTTATTGTAAAATTTATGTAGCTCATTGAGCCTCACAGAATGTTTTCATTGCTTTTTACCAAACATTTCCATCTGTAGCAAACCTATTTTTCTAATTCAACCATAATTTGAGAAATAAATTTCATCCTAATCTGCTAACTACTTTGCCAATAAATTTATTGTTATTAAATCTGGTATGTGATCCGTTAATCTAAAGTCATCCTCATACAATTTATATTTATTAAACTTGAACTTTTTTCAGATTCAAACTAATTGTAAGTTTTACCATGTAATTTTTAATAATGGCTGTATTTAAAACTAAGCTCATAAAATTCCTGAAAATCTAACCATCAGCTTTCACAAGCCTATAGGATCCAGTTCCAGCAAAGCTCTTCTTCCAGGTCACTCCAGTGCCTGGCTCCTGGTGAAGCAGCGTTTTTGGAAGGACACTGGGCTCATGCCCTGTCCACTGGGAGTTGGGGAGGGCACATTCTCAAGAGAAGTTGCAAAAACCAGGAAGCCTGGCTGCTTCTCCTGGGGATGGGGCAGGCAGGAGCTGTGAGCCTGTATTGGGTGTGTTTCTGCTCCCCAGGTCTGCCTTGGAGAGCCGCCCAGACCCCGCTATACTCCCTGAGGAGGAATCAGGACTCTTACTGGCTGCGCTGGTGAAGGACTATGTGCAGATGAAGGCCAGGGAGCTGGAGCTGGAGCAGGAGACAGAGGGCCCCAGGTGAGGCTCCCCGCCCCGCCCAGCACAGGGCATGCCCTCCCTCCTGTCATGCCCAAGAAGGTATATCCCAAGACGTAGGAGAGAACACAGCTGGACGGGAGGCCAGCAGGCTGTCCGTTCACCCCAGCTTGGGGCCCAGCTGTTCTCAGGCTCCACTGAAGACAGAGGTCAGGTGGAGAGACTATGGTTAGACCACATGTAAAAATATCCATTTCTGAAAGCAGTTGGGGAAGGTGTGGAATCCCTCACTCTGGGAACTGCTTTGGCATTACTCAGGACACCTCCCAGCACTGGAGGAGTGAGGACTGGTAAGTGTGAAGCCAGCAGATGGACCCCACATATCTCAGGAGATTCTGGAAATTAGGCTCCTCCTAGTTAAGCTGCATATGATATTCTTTCTCACCTGCAAGGCGTCTTCATTGCACATTTTCAAGGTGAAGCCAAAGGCCTTGCAGAGGGTGGCATCGGGTAGAGCAGTGTCTGAGGTAGGTCTGGGGTCTTGAGATGTGTAGGATCTGTGGAGATGTGCCTGTTGTCAGGGGCCAGACACCCTTCCCAGCACCACCTCCCTGTGCACCCTGAGTTTGGAAACTCTCCAGCCCCGGGCCTGGCCCCAGCATTGCCCGGGTAGAGGCACGTGTTGCACCTGCATCCACCCTGAGACCCTCTCTGCAGAGCACGAAGGACTGAGCAGTTTGTGGAATTCCAGAAAAGGCCCCAGCTTCTCCACCACAGCCCTTCCCCACACCACTCTGGCTCAGCGAACCTCTGAGTTCTCCTAACAGACGATGTGTGAGCTGCCCTCCTGCCTGCCCCTCCTGCCCCTACTCAAATTGACCCCTCCCTGGTCTAACCTTCTGTGTGACAGCCATGGGGCAGACCCAGTGCATGGTACCATCTGGCATGTCTTTTCCCTGCAGCCTGGACAACCCCAGAGCTAAGCAGTGTGGTAATCTGAGTACCTGTGTGCTGGGCACATACACACAGGACCTCAACAAGTTTCACATGTTCCCCTAAACTACAATTGGGGTCAGAGTGTGAATCAAGAAAAGGGTCATCTCTAAATGCTTGGAGAGAGACGATGGCCCTCACATTGGCATGCCCCAGGATGCGTACTAAGCTGTCCCTCTCTTTTCTAATTTCCTTTCTTGCTTCCTTCCTATAACTTGATGCATATGGTCCTCTCTGCTTGTTCTTTGGGCTGGTATCAGTGGGTTTCTTTGTGGCAGTGGATGTCTGGAACCTCAGATAGAAGGAGAGAGAGCAGGACCTAGAGTCCAGAAGAGAATCACCCAGGAAGAGATCAGGGGGCCCGGGGGCAGCCCTATGAGTCCCTGAAGATTTCATAGCAGAGCTTCTCAGTCCTGCTTCTCAATGTGCTTGTCATTGGGGAACAAAAGTATATTTCTACAAAGACTGAGCAGTCGTGGTTATTGCTGTGGCCCAGGTCCCAGGCTTCATGGATTCAGGGACCTGTCTTAGAAGTAGCCTTAGCCCAGCTAAGGCTAAGTACCCTTAGCTGGACTCAGGGCATGGTGGGTGGTCCCTGTGACCAACCTCAAGTAGCAAGAACAGGAGTCCTGAGGAGGCTATAAGCACCTCCATGACTTGATGCTGCCAACTCTGTTTCTCTTCCAGGTAAGACAGGCAATTTTCCTTTTCCTAAGGAGTGCTTGGCACCCATGAATGGAATGTAGCTTTTAGACAGTCCTTAAGAATGGGGTTGGGTGTGGCATCATAATTCTTTCCAGTCTCATAAGCCTTGGTTGATTTTTAATTTATTTATACAGGAAAGATTGGCTCTTACAGCTCTGTGTCCCATGGACAGTCACCCAGAGTCACCTTTAGGTTTTATCACACCTCTAGGTATGTCTATGGGGAGTGATCATGGCATTTTCCCTCCCAGCCTATGATTTTCTCCTCTGATAACTGTGTGTAGGAGAAACACGTAAGGTTCATTGGTGCCTCTCGGAGCAGTAATTGTACCACAAAGGTCCCATGGAGCAGGCTCCTGCCCTCAGCCTCTCACTGACAGGCCTTCTTTTTTCCTCCATCCTGCAAATCACATCCCTGCTCCGAAGGGATCCTGCAACACTGTCACCTGCGTGATCCATCGGCTGGAAAGCTTGCTGAGCAGATCTGGGGTGTGTTGAAGAGCGACTTCATGCCCACTGACGTGGGCCCTGAATCCTATGGCCGACGCCGCAGGGACCTTCAGGCCTGAGCAGTGAAATGACTCCAGAAGAAGGTGACCGCCCTTGTACTGTCGGATGGGAGGATGTCATGGTATTGCAGTGCTGTCCACACTCTAACCCTTTCTGGGCCCATATGGGTAAAAAATCCACAGGAGAAGGTGCCCACTCCACTGTATGGAGAAAGAATGGAGAGTCCAAATAGCTGAAACGACTAGAATTTGGGTTCAATTCTTTGTTTTTCTAGTGTTTCCCTGTGACACTGAGATCATCTGCCAGGAAATATATATCCTGTTTATTTAAAATACTGTTCCCTGCAGTTATAATTGTGATTATTCTAGCATTTGAGTTTGAAAGGCAGTGACACTATCCTTTTGGAATATACACTACAGTGTCATGTTCATCTGGTTTCAGAGCATACACTTGGGTTCAAGTACTGTGTTTGTCCTCTACTAGCTATATGGCCATGGGCCAGACACTCTCTCTGAACCTCAGTTTCCCCATCTGTAAATTGAAGACAACAATAGTATTTATCTGCTAGCATTAATATAAGGAGCAAATGAGATGATACATAACAAGAGCCTCATGATTAATAAGTAACTAAATTGTAGCTATTATTTTTTTTCTCCTAGATCACCATGAAGCTGAACTCTACTTCCTTTAATCTGTAGTGAGAGCAACTTGTAGGACAGGGAGCGTGGAAGACACACCTATATGCATGCTTCTAGATACTGAAATCACTCTTTTTTGTTTGAAATAAACTAAAGCTAAATACAGAATAAACTCATTGCAGTTACCTAGTGTGCATCTTTTTATATTGGACTTGTCTTCAGTGTGATAGCATGTCTCATTGGCTTATCTGGTAGCAAATCTGGGCTCCATCAACCAGCGTGTTGATTATATAATATAAAATTATACATATGAATTATATTTGCATGAGTTTTACCAAAGATATATCATAAAACCTATGTAACCATCACCACAATAAAGGTACAGAATATTTCCATCATCCCAGAATGTTCCTCACGCTGCTTTGAAGTCAATCTTCCCCAAACCCCTGCCCCACACAGTTACTTATGTGATTTCTATCATTGTGGATCATTTTTCCATTAGATGGTATGCACTCTTTTACCTAGCTTCTTTCACTCAGCATAATGTTTGGGAGATTTACTTATATTGTTGCATATATCTGTATATAATTATTTGGGGGATTCACTAGGTATTAATTCTCAAGAATTGGGGAGAAAGAGTTAAGTAGTATTTCACTGTATACCAAAATTTGTAGGATGGGCACAGTTTTGGTTATTATGTATGAAATTCTTATGAACATTCATGTACAAGTATTTCTGTGAACAGTTGAAGCCATTTCTCTTGGATAAATAGCTAGAAATTGTGTGGTGAATATATGTATAACTAAATTGACTATGCCAATTTACAAATGGCTCTGCCATTTTACACTAGCAGAAGTGTATTGTGTTGGGCCAGCCCTGTGGCTTAGCAGTTAAGTGCGCGCAGTCCGCTACTGGCAGCCCAGGTCCAGATCCCCAACGCGCACCGACGCACCACTTCTCCGGCCATGCTGAGGCCCCGTCCCACATACAGCAACTAGAAGGATGTGCAACTATGACATACAACTATCTACTGGGGCTTTGGGGAAAAAAAAAAAAGGAGGAGGATTGGCAATAGATGTTAGCTCTGAGCCAGTCTTCCTCAGCAAAAAGAGGAGGATTAGCATGGATGTTAGCTCAGGGCTGATCTTCCTCACACCCAAAAAAAAAAGTGTATTGTGATAATTCACAATTGCTTGCTCCACACAGTCTAGCCAATGCTTAGTATTTTTAGTCTTTTAATTTTTGGCCATTTTTATGGATCTATAACAATATCTTGTTGTGGGTTTTAATTTTTATTTCCCTACTGACTAGTGATGCTTGAGTATCTTCTCATATGCTTACTGCCCACTTGTTTATCTTCTTTTGTGAAGTTCCTGTTCAACTATTTTGCTCAATTTTAATTGGGCACATTATCTTCTTATTCAGTGTAGGAGATCTTAACATAGTCTAGATACGAGTTCTGCTTCGTCTTTGGGCACTGTTTCACTCACTCACTCACATTTCTCTCCTTCTTGAATCACTTTTGTGGGAACCAGATGCCTTGAAATGAGGCACTCAAGCTGGCTATGGAGGGGTCCCTGTGTCAAGGAACAGAGGTCTCTGGCCAATAGCCTGTGAGAAATGAAGCCTCGTCAGTAACCAAATGAGTGAGTTTACAACTGGAATCTCCAGCCCCAGTTGAGCCTGGGATGACTGCAGACCTAGCTGAGAGCTGTGCTGCAACCTCAAGAGACACCCTGAGCCAGAACCACCCAGCTGAGCCTCTCCCAGATAGCCTACCCTCAGAGTCTATGCGAGATAATAAATATTTGTTCTTCTGAGCTGCTAAGTTTTTAGGTAATTAGCTACACAGCAATAGATAACTAATATCCATCCAAACCATGATAACTCTGGTTCAATCTGAAAATCTGGAAAGTACATTGAAGGATGTTGGCTAGATGTACAGACGTGAGTTCAAGCTGGAAGCCACAGTTCCCAGGAAGGATGCATTGTCAGATCTCCTCCCCCTGGTTCCCAAGCCCAGATCAGATTAGGTGCAATGGCAGAAGCTGCTTCCCTTCCAAACAAAATTAAGTCCTTCTATTCTTCCTCATTATTGAGTGCTTTTTACCAAAGCCCTCTTCCTCTCTATGAGTTGTCAATGTTCTCCATCTTATAGCTACTCTTTAACATCATGCTTTCTTCTTCTAAGATTCACAGAGTGGGAAGAAACACTTAAGGTCATTTAGACCAACCCACATACTTGAATCTCCTCTACAACACCCCCCAGGTGGTCTTCTAGCTTATTTTTGAAATTTTGATGTCACTATCTCCTGAGGTAGTTCATTCTATCTTTGGATCACTCTGACTCTTAGAAAATTCTTCCAGTAGTGAGCAGAATTCACTTTCTCTGCTCTCTTGCTTCACTTGGTTCTCAAGAGATTCACTCTTGGGCAGACTTTCCAGGAAGAATTGCTTTGACTGAGACCACACCTCTGAAGCAAGGACTGGGTATTAATTGTTGGGGATTTACAGCAAATCATATTCTCTTTACTATGAAGTCTGTGGCTGAATGTGGTTTTCTATGAGCCATCTCATTAGCTCGTTCCATACTAGACAATTATCTATTCATTCTCAAGAGTGTGTCTGGGGTAAGGGAGAAGGCTCTTCAATTATTTGGATCTCAGTTATTTCTGCACGTGGTGAAACTTTTCTGGATATTCCTGTAGCAGCAGCTGCACGTAAGCAATGAGTAGAGTGAACAAATGTCTTGCCCTTGTGGCTGGTAGGGCCCTGAGCCAAGCACTGTAAACCTGGACCTCATCTTTCCCACTCAGGCTTGCCAGGACAATGATAAGATTAATTGTTTCCATAAAGAGGGGTACTCTAGAGACTTCCTGGAGAGATTGGCTCATCTGTAGATGTAGGAAGATTGTATGAGAAGTTTCTTGCCTACTTAAATGTAGCCAACGATGGCCAGGTCTTGTACAAAACCCTAAATATAGTCCACAAAGCTATTTATAATGTGGCACCTGACTTTTGTTCCAGCCACAATTCTCACCATGCTCTCCCTCCCACTCTGAGTTCCAGTTACACTGGCATTCTTTCAGTTTGTCAGAATCTGCATGTTCTTCCTACCACAGGGCCTTTCCACATGCTGTTTCCTTGTTCCAGAGTCCCCGCTTCTTCTCTATTCTCGAGTAACTGTTTCTCATCTTTTAGATCTCAGCTAAGCATTGCTTCCTCAGGAAAGCCTTCCTAGATGAACACCCCTGAGTTTAGGCTATAATTCTTTCTTATTTGATCTCAAATCATGGATGTACCTTTCCTTCAGCTCACTGTTTCAGTTTTAGTTTATACATTTATTAGTTTGAATATTTGATTAACGTCTACTCGCCCTTAGACTGAAAGTTCCATTCATACAAGGACTGCGTCCATTTTGCTCTCTGTTGTAACACTTAACCTAGTGTTAGGTATAGTAAGTGTTTGTGGTATGTAGGAAAGAAGCAATTAGAAACCACTGTGATAAATGCTAGCCGTGGAGTAGGCACAGGGGGGCTATAGTCTAACTTAATCCAGATTAAAAAGCTTCCCTGGGAATGTGGTATCATATCATTTCTCTAAAAATCAACAGGACTCTGCCAGATGAACAAAGCAACTATGGAAGTAAGAAATAACAAGACCCTGAATGAACTCATCAGTCACTGGATACAGGTCAACTCAATTATTTCTCCTCTGCAATCAGAACTATCTGTCCTTCTATCTAGATACAGGAAATCATTGAAAGTCCCATGAAATGGGCCAGCCCAGTGGCGTAGTGGTTAAGTTTGTGCACTCCACTTTGGTGGCCCAGGATTCGCAGTTTCGGATCCTGAGTGCAGACCTAAACACCACTCGTCAAGCCAGGCTGTGGCAGGTGTCCCATATAAAGTAGAGGAAGATGGGCACGGATGTTAGCCCAGGGCCAATCTTCCTCAGCAAAAAAAAAGAGGAGGATTGGCATTGGATG